CTGACAGAAAGATGAGGGCAGTAATCAGAGACAATGTATCAGATTGGGGAATGCTAGTAATGGAGTACCACAGAGTTCAGTTCTTGTATCAGTAATGTTAATCGTCTACATAAACGATCTACCGGAAGGAATACAGAACTACATGAACATATTTGCTGATGATGCTGAGCTACTAGGGAAGATAGGAGGTTTAAGCAATTGTCATGCCCTTCAAGATGCCTTGGACAAAATAAGTACTGTATATGGAGCAACACTTGGCAAATGGAATTCAGTGTGAATAAATGCCATGTTATGGAATGAGGAATAAGAGAAAACAGGCCACACACAGCCTACAAATTATGTGGATAAGCATTAAAGAACTCAGAGAAAGATCTAGGGGTGGTTCTGGATAGTATACTGTCACCAGAGGACCACATAAAGGACATTGTGAAAGGAGCATATACATCACTTTTCAACTTCAGAATCGTTTTTAAATACAATGCATGGATAGTGAAACATTAAAGAAACTGTTAAGACTTTTTTAAGATCAAAATTAGAATATACAGTGGCTGTAAGATCCCCATATTTCAAGAAGCGCACAAATAAATTGGAAAAAGTGCAAAGACAGGCTATGAAAAATCTTCCAGAACAGAAAAATGAGAGGAGAGGATAAAGATGATAAATATGTCAAGGCTAGAGGATACAAGAAAGAGGAAATATGATCGCTACATACAAAATAGTAACAGGAATCGACACATTTGACAAAGGAATTCTTGAAACCAGCAACTTCACGAACAACAGATCATAGATTTAAGCTACGAAAACAAAGGTGCCAAAAATATTACAAAGGTCTCTTGCAAGCAAAGTGACAGATGGTTGAAACAAATTAATTGAGGAGGCAGTGAATGCCAGAACCATCAGTTGTTTCAGAGCATCACATGACTGTACAGAACTGGGAAGGCAGGACATCATGAGAGCTTAATTAATGAGTTACAGTGTGTTCTTGTCCACAGAAGGTGGACAAGAACAACTTTTATAAATTGAGAGAAAGTAGGGCAAGAAAACTGGTGGAAGCTGGAAATGTAAATGAGTCAAGTGTAAGTAAATTTTCATACCCAGTGTTGATGATCAACATGGGGGAGGCATTGAAAGAAGAAGTTGTAAAAGCTACTTGCTGATACCTGTACATCAACAATTTTAGGGCTAAATTTGTCAGAGAATTTGAACATTACCCAAGTTCAGTTATAACACAACGGGCAGCAAGGCTAGTAGGCAGAGCATAAAAAACTAGATTTCAGTACCCCCTTATTCACTACTAGGTGAACACGCCATCATATACATGCACACACAGTTGAGTTGAACACCTGGATAAAAATGACAAAATAAGATAGAACATATAGGTTTTGAAATACAAAGACCTGTGAAACAAATCTTAGCTTTTATGATAGCCATGTAGGCCTTCCAAGAAAGAGAAAGTATGGCCGACTGCATCTACCTTGCCTTAAAAATAAGAGCAGTGATTAAAGGCATTGTATCAGACTAGAGGAATATCATTAGTGGAGCATCACAAGGTTTAGTTCTAGCACCAGTAATGTTAATTGTTATGAATAATATATTTGCAGATGATGCTAAATTACTATGAAGAGTAGACTTAGATGGCTTAGTAGACTTGTTGAGGTTATCTTGAGATGATTTCGGGGCTTAGCGTCCCCGCGGCCCGGTCCTCAACCAGGTCTCCTTTTTGTTACACACACCCCCAGGAAGCAGCCCGTAACAGCTATCTAACTCCCAGGTACCTATTTACTGCTAGAATTTTACTGCTTGACTTAGATGACCCTTCGAAATGACTTGGACAAAATAAATTATATGAGAAGATGCTTAAAAACCCAATCAAGATCTAGAAATGGTTCTCAAAATCTAGCTTTGACTCCAAGGGATATGCTGTACATTTGTAACCTAAATCACTTAATTACCACCAGGCTTTTATCCACCATGTAAAACATCGTAATATGATTGTCACTCAAATAGTGTGAAATTTAGGGACATAATGTCCTGCTTTGTATAGACTGTTGTGGCTTGTCTTTAGTGTGGATGCAATATGTTGGAGAATCATTCAGTGATATATGTTTATAAATGTGTGATATGAATGTAATTTTAATTTATCTTTTCAGTATGCGTGAAAAAACACATGCTCATCATAAACTAGCAGATGACATTCCTTTCTCTGTTAAAGTTGATCGTTTGCAGAGAATGGTAGAATTATTCCGCACTGAAGTCACCAAGATTAATAAAGCTCAGGTGAGATGTTTATTTTTATTTGGTAAGTATAAGGTAAGACTGGAATTAGCTATCACCATTAGGGCTACAGCAATAGCTTATGGTTTTGTCAGATTTTCTGGACTTGCTTTCAAGTAGCTCCCTGGTACATTGACTAGCACAACAAAACTACCAGACCTCTGGAATTCTGCAACAATACCTAATACCAGGACCAGAATCTGATGTGCTCATAGAGGTGAAGGAAGTATGAGGATCTGAGAGTGACACAAAACCAAGTAAAACCACCTAGAAAGTGTACACAAAACAAAACAAAAACTATATTGCATTAGAGAAAAGATGGATACAAGGGACATTTTACCCAATATAAAGAATCCATGAACTGGTTCTGGGTGGCAAACCAAAATGATCAGACTACCATGTTCCTTTCATCTCCTTTCTAGTTTACATTTTGAGAGCTTTGAAATGGTGTCAATAATTTAGGTGCTTTATTGAGTGTATGCGTTCCATATATGTTCTTCATATTCCTTCTATTTCAACACACACTCCTGCTCTGAAAGGGCAAGTGAATATCAAGCAGTACTCAAGGTGGAACAGTACAAGTGATTTGAATAGTATGAGCATTGTGCTGGAATCCTGGATTTGAAGGTTCTCATGACTTTATCCTATAATTTTCCTAACTCACACTATATTTGCTTTGTTGTGCTCACTAATGTTAGATCATCAAACATCATTATTCCCAAATCCTTTACATGATGTCCGTTGAGTAGAACTGATTGTGTGTTGTCCCTTGTACTGTACTTTTCTTGGGGAGGGGGTGCCCCCTGTGGCTCCTTGAAGCTATTACACAGATTCATTGCCATGCTACTAGGTGCAATCAATCGCAGAGTTGTTATTGGCCTACCGGGAACCATGAGCCAGAGCCTGGCCCCATCAGAGAGGCGCAGGGAGTTGTGGCACTATGAACACCTTACATTAAAGTTATTCATGTCTGCCACCATTAAGGAAAGCAGCAAAACAAAACAGACTACTGCATGATTAGAACGGCTTCAAAATTGCCAAAAGTACTCCCCCAACACTGTAAACATAACACAGCAGAAGGAAGAAAAATACTAAATTCCAGGTGCTTTACCTAAGTACTGTACCTAGAATTAATTTCTGTTGCCCATTTGAAAACTATTAATATTGGCTTGTTGTTTTTCAATGTCTTCTGTAGAAGTAACTCATGCTAATTTTTGTTGTCTATAAATTATGACATGAAACTGTGATGTATTTTTATCTATGTTATGAAAATGAGAAAAAGCAGTGGTGCAAGGACTGTGCTTTGGGGTACAGACCTCTTCACTGCTTGGATTCAATATTATTTGATTTGCCTTGTTACTCTTTGCATTCTGTTTAACAGGAAATTGAACATCCATTGCCCTTCTTTACTTGTTGCTGGTATTGATCTCATATTATGGGCTATCACTTCATGGTCACATTTATCAAATGCCTTTGCAGGTATTCTAACATCTTTGGAGTATCTGCATTCTGATCTACCTCAGTGACTGGCTACTACTTTGGATCCCAATCACCCTGATTGTCTGCTGGTCAGTCAGAGGATGTCCCGCTTGGTGTCTTTCTCTGTCCTGGCTTTGTTTTGTTGGGCATCACTTGCCATGTACTGTCACCTCATATCGTGCAGCACTGGTGGTCAGGCTTGATATTACCTCAGCTCCATTTTGCAAGTTGTCTGATGTGTTGTTTCACCTTAGGCCTGCTGATGTGCCACCAAAGCTTGTCTTTTTCAGGTCATCTGCGATATGGTTAAGTCTGGCTAGCCTGTAGTCTGCCCTCGCACCTATTATGTGTAGCTTGAAATTGAAATTAAGTTTATTGAGGTATAAATACACTAAGGGATGAGGTAGCTCAAGCTATTCTCATCCTGTTCAGTACAACGTATTCATATATACATTGTTGTTTATAGACACACACATCACAATCAGTCAACATATTACTGAACATTTTGAGTGATAAGCATGCATATTTCTTCCTTTACACATGAAGTACCTTAACATACCACATAGTTTACACTTTTGTTTTATTATCATTTACATCTATTCCATATTGCCAGTAATATTTGTATCAGAGCCTGAGCTGAACGTTTTCAGTCATTCCAAGCATTTCTCCTTTTACCACAATGGGTGTTTTGACTCTCATACATGTGGTGTTGCATAGTTTGACTTCCTTCATACAGTATACCTCTCCTCACCATTTCTGCCTGAATATTTCTTATTTTGCTTCTTGTTTGTCTCATTGTTTTTAATTAAAAAACATTCAATTTCAACTTGTGATTTTGATGTGGCGCATTTCGCCAGTTCATCAGCTTTGAGCACTATTCCAATATGGGATGGAATCCACAACTTTTCACTGTGAATCCACTGTGGCCTTTCAGACGTATATTATTTATTCTTTTCTTTTATTTATTAAAGCTAGAAATGCATTTCTTTAAATATTATAAGTCATTAGCAAAACCTAACTAGATACCAGCAGCTTCTGTTGCTTTTCTACCATGTACCAGTATACTCTACTGTATTTCTACTTTCCTATTTTGCATTGCTGTACAAATGAGAAAAAAATAAGTGTTTATTCATGACCTTTAGAAACACCTTCTGTCATGTATTTGTAGAGTGATGATGATCACATGGTGTGGTTATGGCCACTGGAATGACATAATTGGGAAGGAAGAGTAGGATAGCCCAAATATAGTAGATTTGTATTCTACTGTAAGCTACACCTCTACTTCTGCAATATTTTTGGTAAAAATAGTTGTGCCTAATTATGGTGAATACGGTAATTGTTCCAAAGAGTTTTAAATATTTTTGATTAACATATACAATACTGTACTGTATATGTTAATGTGATTCGGTCCCATATGAAAACATCAGTGATCCCGAGGATGTGTCCACCACTCTTGCCCAGATCATGTTTATTTTTTTATCACCAGTGAAATTTATATTAAACATGAAAACTGAAATCCAATTCAGTACCCACACTATTGTCATTGTATTTAATATTGGGCTGTACAGTATAACAAAATCTATAATAAATGTTTCAGAATATGATAAGATATTGCCCTTCTGGTGACTACATTTGTTATGACTCATTACAGAATACAGAAAATAGTTGCTACAAATCACGAGTGACTACTACATTACATTAAGAATATTAATTTGCTTCATTATTGAGCTGTATTTACTGTAACAAGTTTTATTTTGTTAAGGATTTACCAATAACAATACATTTTTTAATATGAAACTTTTCTCCTTGAAGGTTGGGCAACAGCAGCTGGTTTTGGTAGAAGGTGCCAGTAAACGATCACATATGGAACTGGTTGGAAGAAATGATGGCAACACAAGGGTAAGATATGTCCTGTACTACACGTATAATTCAGTACCAATTATATACGCTAATCTATCTGGAATGCTTGGGAACAAGGACATTTATAGTCCTGGCCACATTCCCATTACAGTACAGTAATTTGCACTTGCAGGTACATTTCCTGCAGTTTTGTTGTCTTGCTTCGAATATGACATGGAGAGGCTTGCTGCAAAACTAGGAAGGTGTCTGAATTGTACATGTTTTGTTTCTTGGCTCGTAGAGACCCTTTCGTTTTCTTTGTCCAAGTGATGGCTTTGTCGTCGTTCACCTGTAATTACACGATGAGAGCTATGCTAGTGGTGTCCTGTCTTCCCGTTACTCAGTAGTTTCAAAGCATTATATGACAACAGACAGTTTTGACCTCCACCTCACTTAGTTTGTTCCAACCGTCTGCCAGTCTGTTTGCAAGAGAAAACTTTAATATTTTTCAAGCACCTTGGTTTTCTTAGCTTGAATCTGTGTCCTCTCGTTCGTGATGTTGCTGGTTTCAGGAATTCCTCTGTCAATTTGGTAGATTCCTATTAGTATATTTTAAGTGGTGATCATATATCACTACATTTTCTTCTAGTTTTGGGATGTTTAACACCTCTGGTCTCTCCTTGTAACTCGTTTCTCAGTTCTGGAAGCCATTTTGTAGCATGCCGTTGCACCTGTTCCCACTTTGTCGTCCTTGATATTTGGGCACCACACAACTGCTGCATATTCCAGTTTTGGTCTCATAAGTCATTAACTTTTAAGTGAAAAAGTCTTTAGTATTTCACCATCCATATAATTAAAAGCAAGCCTGAAGTTGGAGCGCAACGCATGCGTTGTGCGTGTTACTCTGGCGACAGCTTACTGTCCAAAACCACCCGTCTCGTTCTTTGTCATGTTGGCACCTTTTGATTATGCAATCAAATAACAGTAGCAACAATCAACAGGATTGTTGCTACTGTTATCATAGTCTTCCCAACATGACACCTTTTGATTGCTTTTAATTTCATGCAGTAACCATTTAATGAAAACCATTTGTCTTATCACAATATTTGAAAACCGTATAGTCTAGATGAACTTAATATTTTTTTTTTATTCACAATACAGGTTATCTTTCCTGATGTAGAATTAGAAGATCCAGATAGAAGAGGCCCAACAAGAATTCAGCCAGGAAACTACATTTCTGTACTGATTACAGATTATTCTTCACAAATCTTAAAGGGTGTTCCTCTTGCCATTACTACATTGAAGGCTCAGTCCAGATCTATGTGATTGCTAATGTAAACACTACCACTGAGGCACAAATCAATATCTGATCGTTTTGTGTAGCAAAAAAATTGCAATAAAAGAGAAATGCATCCTGCATTTTATTGATCCATTTGAATTTTACAATTGTTAATTTTATATCCCAATACTGTACGATATATAGAAGTCAAAGTTGGCTTTTATTTTATCACAACTTCAGTTGCACCTCAATTTCACAAACATTATTGAAAAGTTCTAGATGCTCTTTTGTTCAACAATCTTCCCAAACTAAGTTGAGAATTTCAGAACTGCAGAATGCCATAAACAATCTGTTAACTCGCATTTTAAAGCATTTAACACCCATTTCCATCAACAAATTGATCAAGTTTCATGTTTTCATATTTCACACCATTATGCCATAAGCATGTAATTTGCCACCCCATTTAACCACCTAAGTTGCACAAATATACACGAACCTAGTTAGTAACTATTAATTTATAGTAATTTAAGAATGCAAAATTGGTCCACCAGTGAAAACTAGCCTCAGATCTATTGTTTAGTTAACTTTAGGTAAATACATTATTATTAATCTATCATGACTATATATTTTGCCATTCCATGCATCTTTAACAACCTCTAATTTGTAATATTAAAAAAAATTATATATATGTAAGCAGTGTATACAAAGTTAGTACAGATAGTTCAATACTCATCCAGGGTACATCATATTCTATAAACATTAAAACTTACAAAACCACAAGGTGGTACCATCCGTTGGTAGTAGATGGAACTGAAGGTAATGCATCTTTGCCAGGAGAAAATATTAAAGATTTAAACTGTTCATTATCTATTGTATGCTGTGTGAACATTACAAAACATATTACAAAAGTTGTTGAAAATAACCCAGATAATTGTATGATACAGAAGTGAAGTACTTACTGTACAGTATAATAAAAACAAATACATTTCACTGACTATTGATTTATTTGGGGCTCAGCCTAGAGCCTTTTGCTTTTTGTTAAAACTGACATTGTTTAGCAGTCTGCAATCCACCACCAATACCTTCAATGTCTATTTCTACTAACAATTGCAATCTAAATCTTACCTTCATTCCTTATTTGGTAAAAAGATTAATATACTAGCTCTTGTATTATCAAATACAATGATTTATAGTTTTCATGGCATGTGATGCATAACAAGTTTCTAATCTGAAACTTTTGCTCATTTATATTGTACATTTTTGCCTGCTAGTAAACAAGATGGCAAAGACTTGCCCCTACTGGAAATATGCTGCTTCTGTAAACTTCAATTCCAGTCAATCTAGTTACATAAATGTACACTCTCTCAAACTAATATTCTACCGCTAACTTGAATTCAGTGAAAACTACATATCTAAATACCACTAATAATAATTTCAGGTGAAAATTTGGAATCATAATTAAAAATTATATTGGTTAAAATTCTAAAAATTATGAAGAACAAATATTTATAAAGCTTTCTACAGCAAACATCTTTACTTCAATTATAGTTTTACAATCTATAAACGAATGTGTACTTTACAACAATCAATTTTGCACATGTACTATTATTAATGTGTATATGAAAATCATATATATGATATATGTGTATATGTATATAATTATACATGTAAAAACACACACTACTTAAATTTCAAAATATCCTGAACAATACTATTTGCCAGGATGCAAGGAAAGGCTGAAATGTGTGTGAATGTCACACCGATGCTCTCCCAACCAAGCACAAGTAACCCTAAGCATGAGACACCAAAATTATCAACCTGTTATCCAACCTACGTTATCAGCATCACGGCAGCTCCACACAAGTGAAACTGGTTTCCCTCCATCACCCTGTCATAAATTGATGTTTATATCATGAAAGTACTACAGTACTTCATTTACTTAGGTTCCTAGGAATAGCCTAAATGACACGAGCACATGTCTGGCATTCACACTTTCAAATCCACCTTCGGATACAAAATGAAATTGTGTAATATACATGATACTAAATAGCCAGAACTGGGTCTAGACCTAGCTGGAAAGTACCGCTCTTCCTAATAGCCAATATAGGCCTAATTTTAACATTTTACCAGGGTTAAGAGATTAGGCCAGGCTCCTTGCTTTTGGTTGAAATTCAGTAGATTGCTCAAACAATTTATCTATCAATGCTATATGAATAATTACAATGTATAATTCTCTATAAACAGATGTTTAATTCTTAAATATTCATTGGATCAATGGTCTAATCTTTAAAGTTATGATTTCACATAGCCCTTTTTTTCTACTGCTCAATGCTCAAGACATTTTACAAATACAGTACTTGAATTTTAAAGTAAAAAGAACATTTAGGATTAGTAGGGCCAACATCTATTGAAGTTACCTTGATAGGCATGCCCTAAGAAACTTAAAAAGTTCAATGATTCTTATATCCACTATACCAGAACCTAGTATCTGAAATCATCTTTCCTGAAGCCTAGCCTTCGACTTTGATCAAATCCTTGATTGAAGTACCGATCATAACGTGGTTCATCAAAACGCGAGTTACCTTCAAATCGTGGGTCATCGTAGCGTGGTTCATCAAAACGCCTGTCTTCAAAACGTCGGGTGTCATAACGCCTCTCGTCAAATCTTGAGTCGCCAAAACGTCTATCATCAAGACGAGGATTATCAAGGCGTGGATTAAGACGTGGGTTGTCAAGACATGGATCGTCAAGAAGTGGGCTCTCAAGCAGTGGTTTACGACGTGGCATGTCAAGCCGTGGGTTGTCCATACGTGGATTGTCCATACGTGGATCATCCATACGTGGGTCATCCATACGTGGATCATCCATACGCGGATCATCATAATCTTGCTCATAGCTGCGATTATAATTCTGGCTAAATCCTCGTCCATAATTTGGACTCAAATCTTCCCTGCGACTGTAACCCTGACGAAGAGGTTCATCATAACGTTCACTGAAACCGACATCAAACTTTGGTGGATTATACTGAGGACGAGGCTGTTGGTATGGCTGGAACCTTGGGTTGGCCTGACGGCGCATGTCAACTGTCGATACAGTCTTCCATTCACCATATCCACCAGTGGGTTCAGCCTGCAAGAATAAAGGTTTTTATTCCTAGCACATTTAACATTAAACAAAAATTCCTTCTCAAATGCCTTAACACAATTTTGTTTTTACAATGACAAAAGTATTAAACTGAATTCATTTACAAGAAGTCCTATTCATTTATGAAACGACAATGCCAAAGATGTTGACAGACACAAGGAATTGATCATTAATTAAGAGGAACAAAATTGAAATATATCTAAACCACTGATTAAATATAAATAACTTATATATTTGTATATTTTATTTATTCAGTAACCAAAACAGTCTACTGGTGTAGTTCTGAAGGAATGACAATAATAAAAAATTCATATCTTAATGGGGTAAAATGATGCAGCTAGTTTACCCTTTAAGAGAAACTACCTTATAATTAACTTTTGTTCTATTATTCCCTCCAATTTTGTATAGCATTACCTTGCAGCACTCGTATAGAAACACGCTCGGTTGCTATTTTTCATGTTTGCATACGCACATGAACACACTAATGCAATAGTAACCCTTAACATGTTCCATTGCATTATTGCTGTCACAACACCATAATGTACAAGCTTTATGTAAATCATAAATGACTGGCCAAGCTCAGAAATTAATTCCTCAAGGGGAACACTTTCGTCAAATTGTCGATGTCGTATAATATTCAAGCAAACCGAATTGCTGATACTTCGCAATTCACGAGATTGGGCTTTACAAAAAATAAGAACACATTCAAGCACTATACGTAATATGACAAAAATGTTTTTAAAGTAAAATGACAGGTAACATTAGTAACCTGAAATGTTTCGATTATCTCTTTTCAGTATATAATACAGGATCCTTCTTCAATACAGCTGAAACCCGCTCAAACAGAATTATTCATTCTGGACCTGTATATGATCGCTGCTATTATGTAGTCAACATTATTTCATTTTTATTAGTGCAAAAGATAGAAAACACCCTTGCACGTTCATCGATATGAAGTTACAACGCCTGCATGTTACAATTCTAGTAAAGAAAATAATTTGCTTATTTGTGTTTTTCAAAATCGCCTGCAGGTTAGCAAATATTATACGTAATTTGCTCACTTGCAATTCTTCTGTCACAATCCACCTTACAAATGGAATACTTCCAGTCCATCTGATCTTCTGTTCGAGCAGGTTTCCACTGTACAGCAGTTTGGGGAAAAGATAAACTTTACAGTATAAAAGTTACGAACATACCCAAACGTGCATGGCAACAGTTTGAAATATATCACTGTTACAGTTTCAAATAACATGCATCGTTTGATACAACAGGCTACGCAAATGTTTTATCTGAACACTTGCACATGTAATGAAACATTTCAAGACTGACATTCCAACACAATCCTGTACAGTCTGAAATGAAACACTGAGCAGCCGTATATAATACACAGTTACAACCCAAGATGATAGTAACAGAAGATACAATCTTCCTTATTAGCTAACTGCAATGTCGGAATAATGTTCAGAGATACGGTAACAGTCCAAACTGAAACTGCTACAGATATACAAATAAAGATGCTGACCTATAATGGTGTTGCAATCTAAAACAATTGCAACAGCCATTAACCGATGATTAAAAATATGGATATTGTATAATACATTTATTTGCAATAATAAAAATAATAAGCTGTTATGTCACTGCCACAGTCTGAAGCAACTGTGGCAGTCCATACACGCCAATGTAACAAATTAAATACACAAATAAATACCTAAATATATTAGAACTTGCATTACAGTTAATACACTGTAACTGTATTCAGGTTAAAATGAAGTAGGTTCCAGTTTCAGGTGATGCTGACAGTTTCCAACAGAAATTAGCCACAGCAAAATAATACTGTAACCAAACAATTATTACGAGGAAACATTAATACATTACGTCATTCACAAAATGGTTGAGAGAGAGAGCACCTATAGTACTCATACAACAGGAAATCCTTAACTTTAAAAATTCACCTTCAAGCTACCAAGTGTTGCACATTTCATTAGAAATTTATTTTATTTTTTCTGAACCACAAAAGCAATACAGTATATGTATGACTCCTGTAAGATTATTATTATTCCAGGAGAACAAATCTAACAATGTGTAATCTTGAGAAATAAAATGAGGCATAATAAAATTACTGGCATAAAATATACAACAATGAGCAATGTGTTCACAGGGCACTTTAATACACACTTCTGCCTCTCGACACTTTCTTACGTCATCTCCCCACTACAATATTACTGGAACTTCAATTGTATCAACGTTTCAGTATTAATGACAGACATTTAATAGATAGCTTGTGTATATATATCCTTCACAATATTTGTTTTATATGTATATAATTCAAATATGCTCTAGTAATAAAGCATTAGCCATTGCACGCATGCAATAGGTGATAACCTCCGTCTTCCTAAGCTAGTCTACATCTGAACAATTTAAAATACTGCAATATAAACCAATAAAGCTCTTTCTTTTTACATTCAAATGCCTGTGTTCACCTAGTGGTAAATAAGCATCTGGAAGTACCTCCCAGACAATGGTAAACCATTACTTGCATAAATAAGGAACTGTATTAAGTAGAGTGTAAATGCACCAAAGTTGATCTCATCCACTCTGCTGCTCCTCTACTCGACAGAGTTCCTTAACCTGCTCTCATTGCATAGGCCTCTTGATTTACGAACTTCTCATTATCTCATTATAGACCTAGTTTATTATTAAGTATAGTTTTGTGCATCAGGCAATGAATTTCATATGCCATATATTCTAGCGCTATTCAGGTCTCTCATCGGTCGTGCGTCTATGTACCCACTGCTTTAGATTATTACAGTAATGTCTTTATGTAACATTCAACAATTCCTAGTTTTAACATTTCTCATTAGTGTTGGATTAACTGCAAACGTAAAGATGTACACACACAATCCCTCAAGTACGTCTGATAAAACAGGAATGGCAAGTGCTAAGAATAAGCCTTGATAGATCTCACTTGTTGCATCTTTTCAAATTGACAAAACAATGCCTGAAAGTGACTACCTACCTTGTTGGGGGGTGGGGAAAGTTCCAAAGATCAATGTCCCCCTCAGCCCAATCTCTGACCAGGCCTCCTGGTTGTTCCTCGTGTCAACCAGGCTGTTGGACAAAGCTGCTCGTAGCCTGACGTATGAATTAGGTCTGGTTGATCAGGAACCAATGTCAGATACTGGCCTGGATAAAGTTCCTTTCTCCCCACTACCTATTTAATATTTGCAGCATTTAAATGATATGAACTGTGAATGGAGTGAGTGCCACTACTACTGCTTGTAGTGCACACAACTTGTTAATTACATTCACTGCATGTGTTTCTTTTTACTATAGCTGAGCCTTTCCAGTTCCACCCAAGTCGTATTATCATTATTGCATAGCTCAATTTGAAAAAGCTGTCATTGTTTACACCACACCTAATTATTTTGTATATAGTGATTACTGTATATCACCACTGCTCCCTCACTGCTCTAGAGTTCTTAAGACTCCTTCAGCACCTAGAAGTGGATTCCAACCTTCACCTGTGCTCCTCTTATTCTATATTAAATGGTATGGATGTGTTGTATTTTGGGAGGTGGTGATATATACACCTGTGCTTAAACACTTGAGTTTTTAACTCTCGTGTACAAATCTCCAAGCTGCTTGGTTCATTTTTAGATTTGAAAGTGTATCTAGTGTCCACAAGGGCTGTGATGAGGGTTCGAATTTACGTCCAGGACGATCCCCGATGCACCTTAGTCGATTGCGTCATAACATGGTAAAAGAATTGTAAACCGGGAGTGCTAATAGATCCCCCCCTTGTGGATTTGTTCATCTGATGTATCACACTATTGTGATTTCTGTATGTATCTAGTGTCGTTTTCCCTTTAAATGTATAGCACAAAAGTTATTCACTATTCTGACAAACAAAAATCTACTATGCCTGTGGCTCATTTATGTAGAGAACTTAAATTTCAACTTGTCACCCCTTGCTAATTTGCCACCAATTGCATATATTATAATCTGCCCTTGTCTGATCTATTTCTTCCCCTACCTATTTCTAATGTAGTAATTACATTTTGTTTTCTCTCTTTTCTAGTAACAAGGCTTAAATTATTTTGTCTTGCTTTATAATGGCTGCCTTTCAGCTCTCAAAGGAGTTTGGAGGAATTCTCCACTTGAACAAAATGAGCTAAACACTGGCACCACATCCACATACCATAATTAGACATACCTAGCTTCATTACTTTGCAATTTAAATTAAATCCATTGGAGACATTCTCTGGCTTTGGAGCATGTGTGTGTGTGTGTGTAGCAATAATAACACAAACGTGTGAAATAACTAGGTCATAACCATATGAAAGTTCAAATTGGTTCCAAAAGCTTCCATTACCTTTAATTTACTATAAAATTCAAGTAAATACGAAGAAGCATAATCCAGATATCATAATGGAAACCATTTACATACATATAAGTGCCTTGAAAATGTAGCTATTATTGATTTTATTATACGAGCAATGTGGTCTCTCGGCCATAATTACCATATACCAGTATTATCACAAAGACATCCTTTAATAACTCACTGCTAAAATGTTAATACATACACAATTTTAATGATCTATCTTAAACATTACATGTTATTAGCTATGTCAAAAAAAAAAAAAAAGTTGCATTTATTATTTTCTTAAGACCTAGCAACAACAATATAAGAAACCATCATTTATAAGGTAACAATACCACTAAGAACATTAGGAAAAGCACTGCATCTTGCCTTTACCATTTATTCGTCCTTCACCTTCTTCGGCAAGGCACCTGCATTGTCCATCAACGTCCTCTTATTATTATTTGTAGACTGCTGTTGAGTAGAGTGCACGCATTTCACCACTAATGTCCATGACAGGCGAGATCCCAAATAAATGGTTTGACTCCATATGGAACAAAGTTCTTAGAAAGAGAATTACAGTACTGTAGGCTGGCTCCTGTTTATTATGAAATTAGTACTGTAC